ATTTTTCAATTTTTTAAAATTTTTTTTTTTACGCATATCAAATACTTTTCCGCACAATTCGAATTTTGGCGACAAAAGTAAACAGTTTCTGCTTTGACGTGTATATTTTTCTATGTAATACGAGTATTTGTGAATTTTTACAACTTTCCTGAAATACTTTTTTCACTATTGTTACTTTTTAAATCTGAACAATTATTTATTAATTTAGTTTACATGCGGAAAAATATTTATCAAACTTTAAAAATGCATTTAACAATAAATATTTTAATAAAATATATTTACAATGAATTTTAACACACAAAAAAATAATTCTGATTGTTATAAATTGTTTATCTAATATATTTATAAATATTTGAATGAATAAAATGAGTATAATGTTTAAACCTAAACCAAATATATAAATTAATCTGTTATGAAAAAACCACAAGTTTATTCAATATTAAAGAATTAACGTTAACAATTCACATAGAATATTTTGTGAAACAATAAAAAATGCATTTGAAAATTATTTACAGTGATTTTGTGTACTCGCATTATTGGAGTCCAAAAACTGCACCCGGATAAATGGACTTTGCAGCCACCGCATTGCTTTTTATGAAAAACTCCGCTTTACATTTACATTTATTTGTGAAATGCACTAGTATGTGTGTATGATTTTTAAATTTATGTTATTTTGTGATATCTTTCGACAACATATTAATTTATGACCTCTCTACATAAAGCAATAAATGAAAATTCATTTAATATATTTAAAAATATTAAAGCAATTTTAATAAAATGCATTTAATTTTTATCTTTATGATTTTATAATACATTATTTAAAATATTTGCAATATGAAAATAATTAATTCGAAAAATGCTTAATAGCTTTTTTTAAATTTGCTGGAGAACATTTAAATTTAAAACTTATTTAATGTGATTTTAAACAAATTTTATTGCTTTACTATATTAATATTGACAATACTTTATATATGATGTTACATAAAATGTATATTATTTACGCTTTTAAGCCATTGAAATAATTTTTTATTTTGTTATTTTAAGAATAGTTAATTTTTTTTGTATATAGTTCAAATTATTTCCTTTTCGTATAGTTAATATATAATGTCAAAAAAAATTCCTATTTTATAGCTTTCTTAAGAACATATTATAAATATATATGAACATATATATATATATTTTTATTTTGGGTTAGGTTAACCTAGGTTATACCGGCGATCCACTTAGGCCCATAGGCGCATTATGCTAGAACCTTTGACAAAGTTTATGATGCTCTTTAAAGGGAGGTCCGAAGTTCACCAAGATATCCAAAAAAGAAAGCCCCTAAGACATTAAGCTGTCGCTGCGCATGGAGGCATGGAGGCACTTTCATCATCCTCACCACAACTGGGGCAAATATGGTTGCGAGGGAGATTCAATCTCCCAGCATGGTTACTTAATATACAATGGCCTGTTAGTAAATGTAATACAAGACTGTTATATCTACGGCGCATCACTATGAGAGTTTTTGATTTTCTTTTACTTGTATGTAGCCAAAATGCATACAGATGTCTGCAAATCATAGAGTCTTCCCAACTTTTAAAAAGTTCAGCACAGGAAGAACTCAATGTCAACGATACACCCAGATTTTTTAGGTTTTCCAAGTGGTTTCCTGAAGCAAACCATCTAACTAACTCATCTGCATTGCAATTTACGAAAATATCCCTATGACTAGAAACACAGATTAGAAATGCATTCTGCCTGAAAAACACTATCGTGATCTGGAAGAGGATGTATTCAGCCTTCTGAGAAAAAACCAACGGTAAAAATTTGTAGACCCTCACCCAGGGAGTAACCTCCTGACAACCAATCCTATAAGGATCGAAAGGCCACGAGCAGAATTTAATTCTTAATCTGAATTAAATATAAAAACTAAATATTTTTTATCGTATAAATTTCAAAATTTGCTTTAGTAAAATTAATTGTATTTATGTTTTGTGTTTTGTGTATTAAAAAAATTTTATGATAAATCTTATCCAGAAATGGAAAATTTACTTAAAATAAATATACTATATTAATACGAATATAAAAAACACTCATACGCAGTGTAGTTTTTTTTTTGTAAGGAGGTAATTTAGTTGTTTTACTAATAATCGGAAATTATATATATGATCTATTCACCTATAAAATTCAAATATATTACGGTAAAAAAAAATTTTGTATTGGTTAAGCTCTTAACTTAAACTATAAACTAATTTCCGCTTTTTAAAGAAATTTGTTGATTTTTTTCAATAAATTAATATTAGCATTAACTTCTTGCTACAAACAGTTTTTGTATTTTTAATATTTGCAGTTAAGATTTAAAAAGAATTTTAAAACAATGTTTTACATTTTTAATTTCAGATATAAAAATGACTATAAAATGGCGGCAAAAATTCAAAAGCAAAAAACGCTTGCCACAAAAACAACGAACAATAAACGATACGATTTCGTTTAATATAACAACCAGCAATACTAATAAAACTCTTGAAAACAACAACCAAAACAGCACTAAAACCAAAACCGACTTTCAACGACTGATAAATAATCAAAATTCACCACCAGCGCAACAAAAACAAATACAACAAAAGACTCAACTGCAACTACAGCTGCAACAGCTTCAACAGCAAACAAAAGCTTTATTACAGCAGCAACAATATAAATCTCCAGTGAAAATCTGCACTCTAACAACAACAAGCACAACACCAATTACAACAAAAACAGTAGCAGCAGTCACCACCACACAAACTTTAGCAATAAAAACTCCAACAACACACACTGACACACAAATAAAAAGTAAGAAAACAAAAAATTACCAATATAAATGGCGACACATGCATAAAAAGGCAAAAGCATTTGGCTTCAGGTTTGACACTTCGTCATCGTCAAACTCACCACCAAAACTAAAGGTAAATAGTAATACCACCGCGTCAACGAGTGCTACTGTATTGGCACTATTTCCATTGCTTGCGTTGTGCTTTTTCTGTTTCACCACGACTACTATAGAAGCAGCTGCCGCAACTGGCACATCCTCATCAACATCTTCTTCTTCCTCACCTACGGCCAAATCACTACTTCAAACAAATGCAGCACAATGCTCACTGTCAGAGTTCAGTTGCACAAACGGACGCTGTGTGCCGCTGAGCAAATATTGCAACAATGTGAATGATTGCGGCGATGGCAGTGATGAGCCGCGCTTTTGTACACGTAAGTGAATTTAAACAAATGTTTTTTTTTTCAATACAAATTTTTTCGCGGTCTTTTTAATTGATATTTTTATGTGTAATTTTTATTGTATGTTGCTTATTAAAATTGTATAATTTCTTTATTGTCGCACTTCACATATTGTTCAACAACACAAAAAATTAATAATCTTCCTTTTATCACTTAAATTCTTTTAAAGCTAATATTAAAGTTTCAATTATTTCCACAAAAACAAAACTTTATGCACCGCAAGCAGTTTTAACACTCAGTTAACGCCCCATAACGTAATGAGCAGTGCAGTACACATGACTGTAAGCTGCGTAATTGCTTTTTCAACTTTATCATTGTGAATTCTGGAGTTTTTGTCCGGAAATTAATTAAATTGAATTTTATACTAAAAATTTCATTTAAAATTAACCTCATTGACGTTAAAAGAATGGACATTTCGAACGCCGGTGCGACAACATCCTTCGCACATGTGGACA